CCAGGCGGAAAACGAATTCGTATAATAAATATGAGAGCCCAACATATAACTTTTAACAAAGCCATTAAAACAGTTTTAAAAGAGTGTAAAGAATTTTAATTGTAACGTTTCGTCTTTAACTTAAGACATCTTCAGACTAGATAAAATTACACGAGATATGAATATATTATGCTAATTATAATCTATTTACAAGGTGTTTTGTTACTAAGGATAATAAAAGATAAGAGGATGTATGTAAAACAGGACGACACAAATGAGGAAACAAAACAGACGCAAGAAAACGGCAAATTACAGAAGGTTAAGCGGAATAGAGCTGCCCTGGACGTTAAGAGTAGGTTTGAGTTTAGATATAAGAAGGCTTTCGTGAATCAATAATTCACAAGTGTCTGAGCAAGAGGAAAGAATTTTGAAGTCGTCAAAGTTGGCAGAATGCTTTGTAGTATTTATGTGAGAGAAAATACTAGACATGACTGTCCTGTTATAGGAGTGAGTCCCAGGTATTCCGATACTCTGGTGTGTAAATGGCGCATGGTTTGACCCACATACGACGCGGAACAGCATCGACACTTAAATAAGTATACAACACCAGATCTCAGAAACTTAAAGACGAAACGTTACAATTAAAATTCTTTACAATCTTTTAAAACTGCTTTAATGGCTTTGTTAAAAGTTATATGTTGGGCTCACATATTTATTATACGAATAAACCGGTCTTTATTTTTAAAAATTGTAGCTTGTCGTTGGTTGATAATGTTGAACCACCCTGTTCCGCTGCCGTGGAGACTCTGATATTCTCGGATAGACATTCTGCTGGTAGGTGGATACTATAAAAGTAATACTGATACACTATTTTTGCTAGATTTTTTCGTCTATCTGCAGATGAGGCACCGCAAGCATATGTCATTGTGGCCGATGTGATTTAATTTTATTTTTAGGGGTTCACGTGACCAGACGGAACCAGGGTCTTTACTATAGCGCCGTGCGGAAGTAAAAGACACTGGCTTGCGAGGTTGTCTAACGAGTTGAGCCAAGCGACCCCCTTCCCCCCTAATGTACATTGACATTGTTACGGCGAGGAGATTGTCTTCTCAAGAGTCATTGTTAACATCAATGCATTTGTTTACATCTTACCTTCGGAAGTGACAAATAACAATAAATGATGATTATAAACATTTCTTTGGTGCAATTTTAGTATAAAAAAGTTAAAATGAGCAAGTATAACCACAGGATGGTAGTAATATATTATGGATTGAAAACCGAACCATCTATTATTTCTCCATTAAAATGGCCGCCAAGCAGGTTTAGGCGCACAATGCATTGTGGTTGACAATGACTCTTTAAGAGATTTTTTATTTTAAGAGAGCCGTTTGAACCTGTGATATTTTAGTAAACTAGGGTACCTGCAAGGTAGGGATTGCTGCGGGCATTAAAAGCAAATAGAACTACAGTAAACAGCACAAATTATATCAAACACAGTGATTACTCGCAGCGACTAGTGAGCTGTGAATGGAACTGAGAAGAAGCAATATATATTGAAGTAGTAGTAAAGACCAGGGGTTACAGTGCGTCTACTGTAAGTGGGGCCACTTAGAGAACACTAACCAATCGCATTGCAGAACAGAAAGAAAAATTTAATCAAACTAAAGCTCGTCCAATCAAAAGAAAGATTCAGGAAGCCATTAACTGCAATGTTTACTTTTACATGTCTATTTTTACCGTTTGACATTCGTTTATTTGTTCGAATTGTTTTTGGCCTAATGCTGATTGGCTAATGCGCCGTTTGTTGATTTTTTCACTTTCTGTTCTGCAATGTGATTGGTTAGTGTTCTCTAAGTGGCCCCACTTACAGTAGACGCACTGTAAAGGGCAATCAGAGGTGACAGATATTATAAACATGTGCGTCTCATTGACATACAGGTAAATTAAGATCAGATTTCATATTAAGTCTTGTTTACTGCTAGGCGCCTTTACCTCATTATATAGACTGTATACACAGATTTATCACACTAAGAAACTAAAACTTTCTAAAACTATAGAACTGTCAGTGGCCAAAGTCCAAAACAAATGTAAGCGTAACATTAGACTTGAAAAAGCTTTAGTAATTCGATAAAAATTCGAAGACTCGAGCGGGTTTAAAATGTGTGTCTTGCGCCTAGAAAGCGCGCACGACCACAATTCCATACGCTAAATAAAATTTAGTTCAAAAAACCTCTCTCTGCACATATTAGGTTGCTGCTACGCTCGCTCGCTTCTGGCCCGCTCGCTCCGCAGCAATAAAACCTTTTGTTGTTATTATTTTTGTGAAGCGTGAGTTTGTATTGATACAAGTTCGATATAGAGTATATAGAGTGGGTTCTTTACTTCTTAATTGACCATTTGCGTAATAGACAAAATTTTGATCTCAACAAGTCTAGACAAAAATTTCATCGCAGCTTGAAAGAGCATCACAAAATTAGTAATATTCCAAAGTTGGAACGTCTTTTTGAAGAGCAGTATATACCAGAAGTTCTGAAAATGTTGGTAAAATTCGCTAAAAGTCCACCAGGTACAGTTGATGTAGAGGATTTGCTGTTTAATGCAACCGTTAAAGCTTACTTAGAACATTACAATCAGGAATTTGACAAATGCTTGAACGGGGAATCTGGTAAGACGCCGCAGTTTTGGGCACCGTACAGGATGATGGTTGACCGCCAACAAAAGCTCCATTATGCTATTAACAAGAATGATTACAATGTTCACTTACTAATGTGGCGAAAATCGTTACCTTTGTGTTTCGCAACAAATCGAGTTCATTATTCTCGGTATGGAACTTTCTATGTGCAATCTTTGGAGTATTTGGAATTTAAAGTACCCACCATGGAGCAAAGGCCGAGATCGAAGAGAACGGTGTATCTGTTAGGCGAAACACTCTTGGAATAGGTCAGGCTGTTCTTATGGCTGGTGAACAGCAGGGGCGGATTTAGGGGTCGTCAAATCAGTCGCGCGACTGAAGTAAAAATTGCCCACTTAAAAAAAAATTCACTCTAGCTATCTATAGTGGCCAGTAGATCGAGTTACTAAAATTTTGAATCGTACCGGTAGTCCAGTTATACGTTTCATGCTGCGGCAGAGCTTCGGCAAAGTAATGTTAGTCAGTCACGAACAGCGGTCTTACGCATGAAAGTTGACGGATTCGGGGGTCAAATCCGGCTATCTGATTGGCTGACATGCTCATTTCCATGGTTACGGCCATTTGCGACGGATCTGTGGGGAGGCCTGACGGATTTGCAGATTCAGGGGCTCTGTATGAGCCTTCTGATTGAGCCATTTAAAAAAATTCTGCACTGTCATTGGCTTATATTTTCGACGGATTCGCAACGTGAGGTATTCGTCAACACCGCATTAGTGTTTACCTCTGAGTGTTTACTATAATTTTGAACGTTTACTATTACGAGCGGTTTCTACCAGCGATATCTGGAAACATTTTCGACAATGTTCAGTTTGCGATTGCGGCAAACAATTTGGAATCTCTATACAACGTTTGTATACGGAGCTTGAAAAGAATATCGATGCCTCACGGACGAATTTTGTTGACAAGCTACTGAGCGGCGCCATCAACAACACAAGCAGAAGCCTCGCTGGCGCAGAGAGCTACTGCTAGAGAAAGACAAAGCTTGCACTGCAATAAGGTAGATAAATTTATGGTTTTATAGTTATGTATCTTTAGTTCATATTAAAGGTTTATAAACCGGAGTACCAAGCCATTGGTGTTGTTAATGATTGTCTGACATATGATATTTTAATATATTCGCTATGCTGTATTGCTGTATTAGCATAATTCTCGCGTCAAGAAGCTAAAACATGTTAATATTCAATGTCTACATTGTAAGCATTTGTTGATTCTCATGTTAGTGAAGTTTTATTTAAAATTTCTTTATATTTATGCATTAATCATACAACATGTACGCGTAACGCGTATACGTGTATTGTTTATCCATGGCCTATCGACATGGCTTGTTAGACCGCATTGGTCTGATGTAACATGATGATGTGAAATATTTAATTGTAGGTCGCTTGAAAAGCTCATTGACTGGTAGCCATTCTGACTTAGTTAATGAATATGTGGTTGCTTTTTTGAGCTCAGGCTACTGGCAACTACTTGTTATGTATAGTTCTGTGTTTTTGGTAACAGAACAGTATATTTCCTTAATGCATTTGCTGCCATATTATTTTAGAAGTTTTACAATACCGATATGACGACGATTCTTAATCCACAGGCAAACATGTTGAATTGCTGCTGAGTTCTAAAGTATTATCATCAATATATCTTTGTGCACTGCATTTGTAGTTGTTCTTACAGTGGGGCCCTGTTAGGGGTAAGTTGCGACAGCCGACAGGGCTCTTTTTTAGGCGACAGCGCAGTTTTGAAATCCCGACGAACGACAGTAAAGAAGGGCCAAAAAGTGACAGCGACACTGTTTTATTTATTTTCGACAGCGACAGTGCTATATTTTAAAAAGCGACAACGACGTTGGCACAGAGAAGGCTCAGATATTCAGTCTACTCAAGTTTCTCTAATGGGGCTAGCATAAACAGTCGATATACATATCGAATATTCTTTTCACAGTATCAGTTTTAAATGCATTTTGTCGTAACTTGTTAATATTAACAAGTTACTACAAAATGGTTATACAATGAGACCGATATACAAGAAACGTGTTGTCCACGTGATTGCGCTATTCGTGCAAAATTCTGACGGCGACATTTGACAAGTTTCAAAAAGCGACATTGACGATTTTAAAACTGCGACAGCCGACATCACCACCCCCCCTAACAGGGCCCCTACAGTGCCTGTGGATAAGAATCAAATGTTCGTTTGAGTTCATCAATTTAATCTAAATATGTTTTATAATTTGATTAATTAGGATTTAGGTTAATAGGTGTGTGTGGGGGGGGGGGACCAAATCGCATTTTATGTACGGAAAATT